CTGAATATGATTTTTGGTACGTGTAATATTTAGGTCATTCGAAGAATTAAATATACAGGGTGTATAAAAAAAACTGCACAGATTTGAAATTTGCTCTTAAATTCGCAAAACAGCTATTAGTATCCAGTTTTTGATGTATATAGCTTCTTTGGGTACTTATAATCTCGAACTCAAATTTTGTGAACCAGGGGTGTGTGTCTTTTCCAACAAACTAAAAATGGCTTGCGCACGAAATTTAAAAGCTTTATTCATATTTTAAGTTAACAGATGGAAAGTTTGTTGGGTACTGTTGGGTGTTTAATTGTTGGGTGTTTAATGTGCTTCAGTTTACGCCCTTTAACCATTCACGCAAACTTACATTTTTTCTTAAAAAATCACCATTTGCATGCTAATCAATGCCTTTGCCTAATTTGCATATGTCAGCAATATGCAAAATGAAAAATGAATAGTTAATTAAAGGGCATAAACTAAAGCATATTGTCTGAAATTTTGTACCGTAATTAAAAACCCAACAAATGTGCCATCTATCAACTCAAAATATGATTAAAGCTTTTAAATTTCGTGCGCAAGCCATTTTTAGTTTGTTGGAAAAGACCCCCCCCCTGGTTTACAAAATTTGAGTTCAAGAAATTTTTTCCATTTTTCTACATTATAAGTACCCAATGAAGCTATATACATAAAAAACTGGATACTAATTAGCTGTTTTGCGAATTTAAGAGCAATTTCAAATCTGTGCAGTTTTCCGTTTATACACCCTGTATAGCTAGCTATCTTTATTATAAAAAATCCCATCTTGATCAACATTTTCACTGTCAAAGTTTCCGGATATAATGTCATTAGGTTAAATGCCAAACTAGTTTTCCTTTGTTTTTTTATACCAAAAATTCACCTATATATAATGACATATCTGGAGATTTGACAGTGAAAAAGTTGATCAAGATGAGGTTTTTTACTATAAAGATATATTACATTTCTTCTTGGAATGACACAAATATTGCACATACTAAAAATTATATTTGGGGTTAGTCGCACTTTAATACTGAAAAGTTATCAAAAATTACTGTTTTGCTATTTTAATCACCGCCAATCTCAGTCCACAATACTGTACTTTTTTCAGTTTATACTCAAATTTTCGAATAATTTATTCGGAGCGTAATTAAGAGATCGACGACGCCTTTTTCCTATTTCAAATCAACGCGTTTTATTTTTGTAGAGCTGAGATGTCTTCGTCCTGGTGCGCCTGTGATAAGTCGATACAAAGAGAACCGCTACTTTCCTGGCCGAGTGGACGGCCTGGGGGAGAGTGTTGATGTCACTTTCGAAAATAGATCGGCAACAGCAAACCTACGGTTCTTTTACCAATGAAGTGATCGTTGACGATGTCCCGGATGTTAGTGAGCTTACAGGCGGGGCACGTGTCTTGGCCAGGCGTCCACGTTCGACCTCATTTGAACCGGGATTTGTGAACGGCAGTATCGAGGGCTTGCCTGTGAATGATACTTTCCTCGTCAACTATGATAGTGGAGATAGCATTGCGAGGAATATACAGGATATAAGAATCGCTGTCAAACCACGTTCTTGTAGTAAGTATCAGTATTCACTGAGCCTGGTACTTATTCAAGCATAAACACAAGCAAGCAGAAAGCTTGGATGTTCTGATGCTTGTGGTGTTCTCGGCGCTGTGTCCTCACTACAACGCAAGATAAAGAGCAAGCATAATACTCATAAGGAAAAGAACACAACGTTTTGATATTCTTATGTGTACTGTTTATGTTTATAAAAATCAATACGTTGGAATGGTTTGATCCCCTTTAACCTTATGTCTATGCTTGCATCGAGAGTTTTCGCTACCGCGCGTTAATATCCACCAGTCAGCTCTCATGCAACTCTTGTTCTCGTATGACCCCAGTTGAGAAAATTCTCAATTTTCATACAAAAACTCTCGCTTCTCAACTCTCATCAACAAGCTGTAAGATTTTTACACATGTATGATTCATTATGATTATCTAGTGAACGAGAAAGGGATCTACATTGGCTGCTTTGAAAATGTCGTCAATAATTTCTTGACCAATTACTACCCTGTCAACCCTACGGACGTTGCCACGTGCAACTGGGCGTGCTTCACACGTGGTTTCCGCTTCGCTGGATTGCAGAATGGCACGTGGTGTTTTTGTGGTAATCACGTGAACGATTCCCTGAAGGTTGACGATAACGATTGTAATATTGCATGCCGGGATAGTCGCGAAGATGTGTGCGGTGGATATCAAAGGATGACTGTGTACTGGACAGGTTAGCTTGGGATATCACTAGTTGCCTTTGGCTCTATAATCTAATATAATGATATGATAATTAATACTAATAGTATATAAATATACACTTTCTAACAATATATAATCATCTAAGAATCCCAGTATATTATAGCCTTTGTAAATAATCTAGTTGGCTCTTTCTACTGCCCTTTTGAGGGCCACAAGTTTGTCAACTTTGCTGTTACGTATCTATGCATGGATATCTTGGTCATCAATTCGTTTTTTTTTACACTTTTCGTTTAGGCGCAGATTATGATGATAATAGTACTAGTGACGTTAGCGAATTTGCAGGTACTGTAAGCATATAGTAGCTAATTAACCAATTAGCAAACTAATTAATTAACAAAGTAATTAACGTACTAACTAACCCATTAACCATATGTAACCGTATCCAAAACACGAGTGAACTATTTGTTACTATCTAACAAACTAACCAATTACTTCACTGACAAACTGACTACCATACTGTGAGTAATTAGCAAATTAATGAACTAATTAATATACTAGTTAACAAGCCAACTAATTAAGTTCGAATACAAAAGTAAGCGATAAAAAATTATTTCACAACGTTTCGATGCAATTTTTTATGCCATCAGGATATCATTTATATCTAAAGTGACTAAAATAAAATTACTACAAATACAAAACGTTTATATGCTGGAGTGAATAATGTTTTGTCTTAAAACAACAAAGTAATAATAATTGTTTTAATTAAATTAAGTAACTGAGTATATATGACTATATAACTAACATACGAGCTAGCTATAACTCAATAATTCTCGCTAAGTAGTTAACTAACTAAATACTATCCAATTAAGTAACAACCTATTCATTAACTACATTATTTCGACTGTCTTTGAACAGACGCCGCAGGACAAGTAACGTCTGACCAAGACCTGTTAAAATTGGAATCCTCTGGGAAAAGCGCATGTGCAGATGTCTATGACAGTGCACAATGCAATACTTGGGCTGATCAATCAAAGTGTATCGAGAGTCCTGATTGGATGATTGCAAACTGCAAGAAAAGTTGTTATGCATGTGATTATGATGACCATGGCTCAGATACAAACGGTTAGTAGTGATCGGCTGATCGAGTTGTACTGTGTGTAAATCAAGCACACAGCTCGCGCTGTGTAAATCAAGCACACGTGAGTTTGGAGCAATATTGTTAAAATCTCATCGAAATAAAATTACAATAAAAATTCTTATAATCTAGACAAACCAGATCCCAGTCCTCAGAAGTACACTCCAGTTACGTCTTCCTCGCCTCAGTCCCAACCCAATATGTATCAACCTGGTTACCAGACCTCTTCCAGTTACGCACAGAATTCCTACTCGACATCCCAGGATTCCTCGCAATCTTCTTCAAAGAAATCTGATCATCCTGTATTAGACAGTAAGTGCTGGATTCTTTTAGCGAAGTTTATTCCAGTTAAGTAAAACAGATTAAAACTGTTTTTGATATCGACTATTTTAATTTCTCTCCGTACCAAATTAAGTACTGTCGAACCCCTATCAAGCGGACCCTTCGGTGACCTCACCAATATGTCCGCTTAAAAGAGGTGTCCGGTTAATAAGGATTTGCAACGGCGGACACAGCAAGGGGCAACGCCCAACTAATTTAGGAACAGTAGCGATCAAATGTAAACATGCCAGCGGAGGGCTTGGTTATGCTGTGGAACTTCCCGCTGCGAGTTCCAGTTTCGAGGAGACAGTTGTTCTTGCAATTGCTTGAAAGACAAATTAAAAGTTTGTTTTAGGAGATTAGTTCAAGTTATTAGCGTTTACACTGCATAGAAATACTGCAAAACATTAAAAACAAATACATGTCTAGTTAATTTTCTTCTAATTGATTATTACCATTGATTGTTATGAAAATTTATTTTAGCATATTTACATTCATCCGTAGCGTTTGTCCGCTGAAAACAACACAGTATAACCACTGTTAGTTGTTTTGTACTAACACCATCATTCCATTATTTTCCAGACACGAGCAATACACCGGGTTATCTCGGATGTTTCCGAGACACGCCGACCTCACACGATCTCGAATACCTTGCTGACATCAGACCATTGTCAATTCGAGCGTGCATCACTAAATGTAAATCCATAAGATTTCCCTACGCTGGCGTCCAGTCCTCCTCGTCCTGCTACTGCGGCCTGCACTACGGTAAATATGGTCAGCTGGAACACGAGGACTGTAATACACCCTGCGAAGCTGATGCATCCGAAATGTGCGGTGGAGTTTACAAGAATTCTCTGTATCACACGGGTATCAATTCGTAATTTTTTATATATTCTAATAGTTTTGTAAAAAGTATATATTTTGTCACTGATATCGTTTTTGTCACTGATCGTTTTTTTGTCACTGATACCACTTTTTGACCCGCTATTTTTAATAATTGTTGCATTGGCGTCATTGGGGCAATGACTAATATTGTAATAAATTCTGACTCTGATAAAGGTACAAGTATACAATAAGCAGGTTATTTATGATATCGTCCCTCAAGCGATAAAACGGATATCGTCTCGCCCCTCATATGATAACCTGTACATATATGTCCTGTGAATTTTTATATCGGGCCAGAACGCATGCCCGATGGCTCCGATATAAAAATTCGATCCAGTACACATGTAATTCTGCATTGTGTTCCCTCCTAACTGGGCTCATTTTCGTTTAGGTTTCCCTGTTAAATTCAAGTCTGCAGAAAACGCTTTAACAAGTGAGTTTTTGTTATTTCATTACTGTGAAAGAAATACCTACAATCCTAGAGGCTGCCTGAAATCTTCATTCAAACGAATTCCTTCCATCTGTTTAACATTTCCTGCGAGCAGTGCTCGCGTATTTTTTCCACCCCGTCTGGGCAAAAGTAAAAAGTCAAGCGGCGATTAAAGGAAAAGATTGAAAGCCTTCATTCCAGTTTAATTAACAAAGTTTCTTATTCAACAAATCATGGTAGTATATGTAGTATGTGAATCCATAACTTAAAATCATCACGATAGTCTACATCATATCATATTTGACAGATTGTTTACTTTTCACAGGAAAGAACCTTCCTTCGTTAGCAGTAAACAACATGGACAGTGGCAGAGCTTATCCACTCAATCCTTCTTATAATTATCCCTCTCAAAATCCGCAGACCTCCTACCCGCAACAAAACCGTGGCTATACCCCACCCGTTTACCCTCCGCCCGCATCGCGTTATACATCAGGTTACCCTCAGACCTCAAACACCCGAACAAACGCATACCAATCCGCATATAATTACAATAATCAGGCAAGTAGTCCGGTACAGTCTGGAACCACGAATGCCGACACTAGGAACTTTTCCCCGGCGGACTCAAGTTCGTATCGGTGGAGAGAGACCTATGCTAAACTCCGGCAACAGGAACAAAATCGCTATTCCATACCGAGTCTCAGAAATCTTAAACGAATCAGCAAATTACCAGGAAACTCATGGTCTAACATTCGTGCAAATTCTAAGAAACGCCTATATCCAAGGAAGGACAAGACAAAAGATTCTTCGAAACTCCAAAATCTTGGAAACAACGCGAAAACTCTGAAAGAAACTAAAGAAACTTCCACGAAATCAGGCAGTAGAAGCAGCAGTTACTCGCAATCACTCTACAACCAATTCATGTCCCAAATTTACAAGAATTCTCAGGGGACCAACTCCGGTGGGGATAAGAAGGTTCTACGAAAGAGCACTAAACGGCGACACAAACAATCGGGAAAACCAGGTGTATTTCTAAGAAAGAAGGCCTCAAAAAAGAACAGCTTTCTCGCGTTCCTTCCACACGAGGTGACGGAGAACGAATCGCTTTTGCAAAACGTCTACAACATGCTCTCGGTGATGTTGAAAAATCTCAGAAAACATAAGAAAAGTTCCATGAAAAATCTCAAGAAATATTTGAAATTCTCGGAAAGCAACGAGGAAAATTCGAAATTTACGAGAAAAACGCCGCTGCATGTTTCAGACCATGAAAAATCGGCAGATCGTTCGAAGAAGCCGGCTGAACGGAAAGTGGAAGGCACGAAGACACATAAATCTGAGAAATTTGGTGGCAAGCGTGTGGAACTTGCCCCATTACAGCACCGGGAAATGGCTAAGAATCATTCTTCAGTGGGACAAAAGCAACTAAGCAAGCCAGAGGAAATCTCGAATGCTAGTATGCAGCCGATGACGTATACACCACGTGATGATCAGACCATGACCAATGGGAATTCAGCTGATAACCACCCAATCAGCAACCGAGCGAAGTCTGCTGTGAATTTGAACAATGAAAATGCACAGTCATTCACAAATATAGTTCAAACACATCACAATGACGTTGGCGAATCAAGTCAATCACAGACGAGGAAGAATGTATCTAGCAATTCACCTCAAATACAAACCAAGTTATCTGGGGTTCATCGGAATTTGTCGGAAGTCGTTCCGAAGGTAAGCGAGAGTCACTGGCCTTAAATGTACACTGGATAGAGCAACCTTTAATGGGAACATTAGAGCCATTTATACAAGCGAAAATAAGCCGCGGCTGAATAAGCCCAGGGTTGAAAGATAGGTCTAAATAAGCCACGGCATGTTGCGAATTGACTGTTTATACGAGTCGTTCACGACTTATTTATCAAATTTTATTTCCAGAGTAAAGAGGGGAAAGTGCTGGAGCATCAGGCCAATCTAACGAGAATTCAGGAAACAACAAGTTACAAATTGCAACTGCCCAAATTTGGTGATACCTTTGAACATTCTAAGAAACCAGAGAGCAGTTTTCGAAACCAGTTAAGAAAGAATGCTAGCCTAGATCAAGAAGACGTGCGGAAAACTGTTCCACCGAAAACGAAGTATACAAAAGGAATTTCGAAGAAATTAAACAAAAAGGAATTGCCCAGCTTCAAGGTAAGACAACGGTCGCTTGCATTTGCAGCCAGAGTGCAAATAGTCCTTGTTTAGCTGTCGATCCTTTTCTCTGAAACCCCAAGCAGTTAGAGCTATGTCGCTAAAAATGAGTCAAGGCTTAAATCCTTAATTCGTTGCTTTTCTTTAGACAGGGGGTAAAGCTAGCGTAAACCTGGACCAACAAAAGACGAGAAGTCAAACAAATGAAGACGACACGGTGGAGAAAAGTGACGATGAAATGATCTCGAGTATCGTTGATTTGCTAGAGAAAGAAAAGACAATAAGAACAATGAAAAACAGCAGAGATGATCAAAGAAAACAGAACGATAGTGAAACAGAACAACACGAAAATGAAGAGAAACGAAAGAAAAGGCATAACAAGAAGAGGAAAAAGGAAAAGCATGAACGAAAACATAAGGTAAGAACTGGCAAGCATGATAAAGAGAACATCACAAAAAGGATATATAAGAAAGACCATCTAGGACGAGCCAGGGCTGATGGGGAAGCAAGTGATGATGATGATGATCATGACGATGAAAATAATTTGATGCAAGAAGATGAAAATTTCCGAGAAAATAATGGCAGCAATGATGAGTGAAAAAATAATATATTATGCATAGAGCATTGGCGAGTTGTACAATACACAAAACACTCTTCTTGGCAGAGTGGAAAACGAATCGAAACCTGCGAACCTAGAAACTTTTTGTGATCTACATTTTCGCAGAAATTTCACAGAATTTTATGTTTCGTAGTTAATTCTGAAAATTTGAATTATTGACATGGTTAAACACCTTTCCTAATCTACTAAACTCGATACCTAAATATTTCATCAGATAGTTTCATTAAAAATATTCACACAGCCTGCAGTAGGAAAGTTGTTTTTAAATTAATCTTGTACTGACTGTAACTACTAGGACTACTTCAGGATTTATCTTGCATGCATGCCTTATCAGTCTTGAAGACATATCGCTTCACATGACACACTATCACAAACGACAATTTTAGTATTTGCCCCTATTTATTGTAATCTTTTGCAGAACATTTTAAGCCCTAAACCCAAGTTCCCAGAAAGGGAAAAAAATTTCCACCTCTGATTTATTGTGCAGTAATATATTATACATAAGTAGGAGTTTACCGTAAATTTGAATGTTTGGGGAAGCCTTGTTCACAGAGTTCAAAATGCAAATCTATCTTACGTTGGGTCGTTGGCCTCTTGAAAAGCTGTCAGTTTCTGTACAATATTTCAAGTGAAAATCTGCTTAACTCGGTAAAACACCTATACCTTTATAATCATACCAGATAATTTTTAACTTGAAAGAAGGCCTGATCCATATATACTGTATAAACAATATCCGGTATCCTAGTGGTGATAATAAAGTCTCACTCCAGTGACATTGTTAGTTCTTGGTTTATTTACAATAGATTCTCTAAATTTCGAATCTAGAAATAATAATCAAAGCTTGCATAGTACATGCACTTCGACAAATAAACATATTCCAACATATTTAATACAAGTTTATTGAGCAGAGCTTTCAGGTCGATATTTATGCTGGAGCACCACTGGATTCAGAATCCTCTTCCCAGAATTCCTTATAACGCTTCGAGTAAGCATCTTTGAAGTTCTCGTCAAACATGTCCAAATCTTGGCTGTCACGTAACACACCCTAACAAAATGACGAAAATCACACGTAAGTTTACGATGCATAGTTCAAACAGTATTGTTTAGTCTGAAAGGCTTTGCAATCTGTGGTGTCATACATGGTCGAAACGGCTGGGAATCCAACCCAAGGCCTTGGCCAATCGACCCCAACCAACTGATTTAGGGTTTCCGGTACAGCAAGCGCCTTCCGTGGGTTCGATTCCCGAGACCTTTCCCCTTATGAGTGAAATTTTGATCTAGATATACCTGGGCAAAATTTTCATCACAGCTTGAAAGTGCATCACAAAATTAGTAATATTCCGAAGTTTCGTTGCGAAATGTTGTAAAATGCGGATAATATAGCCCTGCGAAGTTTGCGGTTTTTCAGTCATTTTGCATTACAATCTAACATTTTGCATCAGATGATCAAACTGATGCAAAATGTTAGATTGTAATACCAAATGACTGAAAAACGGCAAACTTCGCAAGGCTATATTATCCGCATTTTACAACATTTCGCAACGAAACTTCGGAATATTACTAATTTTGTGACGCTCTTTCAAGCTGTGATGAAATTTTTGTCTAGATCAAAAGTTAGTCTATAATGCAAATGGTCCATTGCAGCTGCTCAGATGGCACAAACATTTGTTAAATGATAGTGTTGTCTGCCATTAAAGCTGTAAAACTGTATACTGTTTCACTGTTGTTATAGAACGCTCTTTCAAGCTGTGATGAAATTGTTGTCCAGACTTGTCTAGATCAAAATTTCACTCAAAAGGGGAAAGGTCTATTCAACCGTAACTGTGCTCCATGATCAGAAATGAATCACAAGGCGGCTGCATGCCAGAGGCGCTCTTAGAAAGCCTTCGACTCGATCAGGCCGAGGTAAAAAGCAAACCGAAAACCCGAAATTTACCAAGCAAATGTTTTATCATAAAAATCCTAAATTCACATGACCTACCTTTGGCAAATATCCAAGTAATTTCGTAGCGTGTTCTTGCAACAGACGTTGCCTTTCTTCCTCAATAATTTGTCTTCTATATTCTTGCATTCTCTCTTCTTCATGCCGAGCCTCCAGTTCAGCTTCCTAGAAAACGAAGTGGAAAATAATGTCACGGAAATAATTTAACGATTCTTTAAAGCCAAGTTTCTGTGATCACAGTAGGAATTTTGCATCTATAGGTAAACTCTGAGTTTTGAAGGATTTGTAAGAAATGTTTGAGGGAATTGCCTCGGTGTTAAACAATGATCGGTTCCCTCAAAAATTTATTACAAATCCTTCAAAACTTAGAATTTACTTATACAAAATTCATATTGTGATCACAGAAACTTTGGTAGGACTAGAAATGTTAAAATGTTCATTTTCAGAGTAACGATTGTTTTGTATTCTTACCCTTTCTCGTCTAAATTGTTCTCTCCTTTCTTCAATCAATTTCTCCACCGCTCTCTTGTGCTCGAGCTGTCTCATGCGTCGTTTCTGAGCGTTCATTTGTTCGATGCGATCATCCTCGGCAAATTTCGCAAGCATCTGTCAAGAAAACGCCGTGGTTAGGTGTACTATTTAATACGACAGGGACTAAATTTTAAATCTCTACGGGGTCAGATTGCTAGCTAGAAAGAATAGCTAAGTAAAACGTCGTAAAACAAACCTGTCTTCTGAATTCTTCTTCCTCTTCCATCTCGGCCTGTCTCTTGAGTTCTTTATAATGAAGTTGTTGACGGCGAGTCTCTTGAAGATCAACACGTTGACGAATCTTGCTCTCGATGTCCATCTTTAAAATAAATATGACAACGTGATGTGAACCTTTTGGGAAAACTAGTAGCCAAACAGAGAACATCGTTTCCTCACTTGGGGAGCAAAATATACTTTGTAAGTGTGCTGTTGGGAAACGTATTTGCTTCCATATAACGTAAAGCTTGGTTACACTATCAAAGCTTCTGTGATCACAGTAGCAATTTTGCATAGGTAAATTCTAAGTTTTGAAGGATTTGTAAGAAATGTTTGAGGGAACAGTCTCGGTGTTTAAAACCAAATCAGTTCCCTCACATATTTATTACAAATCCTTCAAAACTTAGAATTTACTTGATGGAAAATTCTTACTTTGGTCACAAAAACTTTGATAGTGTAAAGTTGTAAACCACCAGCCCTTGAGCTCCTGCAAAGCAACTCTTTCGAAACTAATTTGAAACATCTTGCGATTTAAGGACATTTTGTTGAGCGCAAGTAAAATACACGACTGTATTGCCTTTTATATACTGACCTTTTCCCGTTGTCTTTCCCTTTCTTCCTGTTCCTCCATATGTAACTCGAGTCTTATCCTGGTGAGACATGATTATACCAACCGTTAGAAACGATTTATTATAGTAATGTGTAAGACGGTAATCATAAATATTTTTACCTTTCCATTTCCTCTCTTTCTGCTTTCTCTGACGAAATCTTTTCAGCCAACTACAAGTGAATGAGGTAATCATAAACATATTGTTACCAAAATCACCATCATTGATATCATCACTACCAAAATTACCATCGCCAGTATTAATATCACCACCATCACTACCTTCATCATCACTACCTTCATCATCATCATCATCACCACCACCAACACCATCATCACCACCACCATCATCACCACCATCATCACCACCACCATCATCACCACCACCATCATCATCACCACCATCATCATCACCACCATCATCATCATCACCACCATCATCACCACCA